GCGTTATATTCATGGTCACGTTATATTCGTGCAAATACGGTACCATTTGACGCACAACTTTGACGTTTCAACTCGCGAGAAATTCCCATAACACAGCACTGTCTGTCAAGGGCAATCGAGTGTTTCACAGCGAAAGAACTCTGTAAGCTGAAGAGATTTTTGAAAAAAAAATTAGTTAATGGTTGACTTTGATGTGTTTGTGCCTGCTGAGTCCAAATATCACAACCGTTTGACCCGAAATATCACTAAAAGCGAAGAAAACAGAAGCGATCACTGCAGCGGCACACCATTGGCTAGTCACCTGGAACGCGCTACCACACCATCAGAGGACCAGCTCGATTCTCGCTTGCTCCATCCCTTGTGGAAGTAGCCGGGCGTCGAGGCTTGTGATGCTGTAAATCGGGTTCGGCTTTTGATTTTTCAAAATCTTTTGGTGGATCCGAAAGAACATGTCCAGAAGACTCTTGGCGTGACAAGGTACACGTTCCAGCCCTTGACAAAGCAGAAAAATGACCCCCCACAGTAATAGGGGCAGACACAACGAGGAACCGCTTGCGCAGACGCAACGTGGCCGCCTTCATACGTTCAGGAACGTACTGACTGCTGCTTATTGTAACGTAAAACGTTGACAATAAACAAAGTGGTGTTGACGGGACGCGTCAGGCCGGATTAGCGTGAACCTGCCCAAAACGGTCGTCAGAGGACAAGAATTCGACACACATCGGTCTTCACGCTTGGCAGCTGCTGGACACGTGAGCGCGCAGGCTGCACTGTTCACCAAGGCTGAAGTGGTTTGAAGAAGCTATAATCGACTTCGGGTGATGGGAGAGCTTCTCCTGAGATTAGACAGGTGATGAGACAGGGTTGCCATTCTGCCACCCCCATGTCCTTGCGCACTGCATGAATGACTGTATTGAAGGTCCATCCTTGTGGTAGCGGTACCCTCTGCTGTGTTTCATTTGTTTACCACCAATTATTACGCAATTCCAGCTTTAGAAAAAGTGGAGATGTGTGCCCGGTAGTCCTCAATTTGATGTTGAATTCACGAAAGCTTTCTGGGCTTCTATAGTCACATACTTCTCCCAAGATTTGGTGACTGCATTAGACCACCACCAAGCATTATCATACTCCAATCGCATTTCTACGGCACAAAGAACCATTTCATGACACGCAAACCTTAAAGGGATACCACAACGAAATTTCGGCGCTCATTTTTTGGTCTATATGGTTCAAAGAAGCAGTATCACATCGAACATACCAATATCTTGTTAAAAAAGTCACGAAAAGGAATTTTAAAACGAATTAAACGATTAGCAAAGAGCACCTGGTGGATGTCACTAACGCCTCGCTTGTAATGCCCGTCTAAAAACCTTGACAGCTAGTGACTGAGGTCGTCTCACTTCCGGCCACGACGAGAGAAGAGGGGAAGGAGGAACTCCCTTCTTCCCGAGAATGCCTTTTGTGTGTCGCAGAAGTCGCTATTGTCCCCCTACAAGATTACAGAAGATTAACCCGTCACTCAAAATTCGTACAAAAGCAGCCGCTTCGGTGGCTGGAACGACTAGGTCATCCTCTCGACGTCAGCCTCGCCATAGCTTTGATCGTCTTGAGACGACCTACGTCACGATTGCGTTGGATTTCACGTGGTCTCCGCTGGGCCTTCTCCGAGCGCTTGCCAGAGTGGGCCGTTTATAACAAAAAATATAGCCACCAGGCTCAAAATACAAACGTGCGATTGTCATTTACGGATTTTGTGGATCATATTGAACCTATTTTTGAACACGACGGGAATATTTCAAGCCCTTTAAGGCCTGACGACACTAGCGTGAACGGTGCCGCCGTCGTCTGGCATCGCCGTCCGGCGTCTCAACGCGAGGAGTTCACGTTGGCCACCGTTTTGCAGGCGTCACGTGACAGCACTGGCAATCGCGCCTCCCGTCGAATTTCCCGCTCTTTCGTCGTCTGCTCTTTGTTACATTCTTCCGTTCCGCACTCGCTGCCTACATGGTAGGAGGGTAGGAGTCCGTAATGACTTGCTGATCAGCGTGAATGTGATTATCCTAGCCTGCTCATTGATCTTGCGACGTCGCCGCACTCTGAAGGGAAGGAGGCGCTGGTTTTGGGTCCGGCCAAGTTGGTTCTACCGAAACACCGAAAAAACAGAACAGTTCTGGCGCGCCGCCGGGGCTTTGGTGCCCCGGCGGCGCGCCAGAAAAGTGTCGCCAAATCAACACGACATCCGTCACAACACAGACGACATGCAGCAAGTGCCACGGAGAAACTCACTTGTAATTCCGAATTCCTCTCCTATAATTTCCCAGCGGTTTTTCTTAGCTTCCTTATCTAGGTAGTCTGGCTGCGTCTTGTCATATAAAAAGGGAAACAGTCGCACAGTTTCAAGGAACCGCTCTGTTGCGGAAGGCGTTGGGGGAAAATAGGGAGAGCAGACGACACGAAACACGTCCTTCGGAACGTGAAAGATGTGCAAGGACCGGCTTGAGCGTTGCCATGGCATCGCGACGTCACTATCTACGCCACATCCCATTGGCTCCTCTCTTATGCGGCGTGCGGCGCCGAGCTCTGAACCGCGCACGGAGCGGTTGACTCTGCAGCACCGTACGCCGCGCCGTTGAAGCCGAAAATTGGTTTGGGTCGGCAAACTGCAGCGCCGACCGTCGCGCCGCAGGCCTCCGCGACGCCAATGTGGTCGTGCCTTTATACAGAAAACACTGCGTAACTTGTAAAGAAATCACTCAATTCGCAACAGAATGTCACATACTTTGTATCTCTAAAAAGCACTCCTAAAGAGAATATGTACCTATCTGAGGAAAATTTAACAAAATTTATGTTTACATTTAAAAAATATGTTACCTCAATAGTATCAGCAACTGTAAAAAAAAAAAAAAAAAGTCCATGCTAAAACAAGTTGCGTTGTGAAAGTTGCATGATGAATACACCCTTTTCTAGGCTCCCAGTTCGACGGTCTCTCAAGTGGAAAATGTGTGGGCGGAATATTCACGTGCGCTAGTGCCACGCCCACACATGTTCCACTCAAGAAACCCCCGAACTGGGAGTCCGGAAAAGGGTCCATTGCATGGCCACTCATTTCAACAAGCCGTCCTCTCCCAAGTGACTCGGTAGCGGAGTAGATTAAAAACAAAAGAAAACAATTTTGGGTAGCGGAGTCAGTCTGGGAATTATGATCACTTCAACGATATAAGAAACCAAAACTAAAACACTAATTTAAGGCCGTAAGCTAAGTGCCAGTGGAAACCTGCTATTAGGCTACATGATTGCGGCTTTTCCACTACACTGCACACAACTAATAATGTAATAGCTTTTTTCTAGAACAGTAGACCTAAAATTCCTACCTAGTTTTGTCTCCTCTTTGCGTGTGCCTTTTAATGCATTCAATTGCCTTCTTACCGTCAAAGATGGTCGGCAGAGTGTTGGATTCAGCTGAACCTTCTTCAGTTCCAAAACCATATTACATTGTTTTCATATGTGCCATCCCGAAATATGTTCCGAGCAAAAAACAGTGGTATTGCTCAAACACGTCTGTTTACATAGCAGGAACATATCCCTTTAAAATCTCGGTGTGGGAGTGAAAAGAACGGTAAGCGGGAAGAACAACTGCGATGCGCGCTGTTCGTGCAAGCCGACGGCTACATATGAGTACGGCGTCGTGCAACAGCACGAGTCAGTTGCTTCGGTGCCACAAGAATACCGCAAACCCATGAACAGACAAGAACAATCATCACGTCAGGCAATTAAGTCAATAGCATGGCCAGTCAATGGATAAAAGCAAGCGCTATGCAGCGGCAGAACGACGACGGCTCGAAAAGTCAGTAGAGCAACCTACAAGGGAAGCGCGGCCAGCCACGGCAAAGTCCCCCAGCCGGACATCTTGCGACGTCGCTGACGAGCTTCCTCCTCTCTTCCTATTCCCTCTGCTTCGGAGGGGCGCGGCTTCAGCGCTACTTTGAAGGAGCTTTCCTGTTAATCTGCGCATAAAATGACCGCTTCTGCTTCCCTTCAGAACGCGCAAAATTAGAAGGCAGTCGGCTTCATTCGGACGTACACATGCCGAGCGTACGAAAGTTTAACGTGCCAGACACTCGTGAATTACGCTTTGGACCACTAGGCCAAGTCCCGCAAGCATCGATGCACTGGCAGATAGATGAATCTTGACACACTTCATTGGGTACGGCTAAAAGATCGGCTAGCCGCAATCCTTCCTTTTACATGTAGCAACACGGCTCGAGCATGGCGGAAACTTACGCGAGAAAAGTTTCTGCAATGCGTGTATACCAGCCCACTTACCTTTCAGTGTTTCTGTACTAAAGCAAAAGAATACGGAACCATGGCTAAATTAGGCTACATACATAACATGCTGTAAAAGCTTTATTCTCACTGCCTTGCGTTTCCACGTTGAGCCGCCTCGAGGAAACCATAAGATTTCTCGCTTTCCGAGTCAGTTATGAAAAGTGTAGAGGAGTGCAGTGACAACAGTGCCTCCTGGAAGGGGCAACACCACGTATGGCTACGTAGTTACAATGCTCTACATTCGATTCGGTTTCAGAAATCACTGTTCCCATACCCCTAGAAGGTATCTTTACATTCTCCAAGGGGCTTCAAATTTCATGTTTAAGTACTCCGAAGGCCATTTTGAGTGCTTCAAAGTGCTTAAAATTTTGTTTTCAAGTGCTCCAAAAATTGCTTCATATCACTATTTTGCAGTGGCATCTCTGGGGTCGGTCGCATGAGCAATAAATGAATAAAAAAGAAACTGCCACACCTCCTTTTTAGTGCAGCTCTTCACTTAGAACAGTCATTTTTATTGTGGCTCTTTGCATACGTCCGTGCGGCCACCCCCGATCTGGACCCTCGCTGGCCTTTTTCCTCTACAATATCTGGCCGCTTTCCCGCGCATGTGGAGATGACTTTGCCGAACAGCTGTTGATGCGCGACGTATCTGTCTCCCTCCTCCCCTCTCTCAGCGGGTGCAGTGAAGCTGAACAAGCAGGCAACGGACATTGCGGTGAACTGGGCCGGCGGGCTGCATCACGCCAAGAAGTCGGAGGCCTCCGGGTTCTGCTACGTCAACGACATCGTCCTCGCCATCCTGGAGCTGCTCAAGTGAGGATACTCGGCGACCGTACTCCGTTCCGCCTCGAGTTCGACCGCGGTCGACACCACGGTCCGACAGAGTCAACCGAGCGACCCCGAAAGGGCGTCGTCACGGCACTCGTCTACTTTGTGCGTTTGCTGTCACCGACCAATCCTATCGTGCACGGCGAATGCGCCACGGTCCTTCGCTTTTTACCGTGCGCGATTCGTCTGGCCGGGGACGGGAAACCCGCAAGGACAATGGGTGCCGTGACAGCGCGATCGGTTCCACCGAATCGTAGCAACTTGCGGTGCGACGGGCTACAGACGGAGTGTCTTGAGGGGAATGCTCGCCGAGATTCGCGCGGCAAGAGCCTCTGAAGTAGAGACGGAACGTTTCCAGGAACCCCCTTTTCTCAACTCGCTCGGGGTTCATTTGCAAATCACATTGAACACCTCGCTGATAATGATCGCCTCGGCACGGAGAAAAGGAGCGCAATGCACAAACAACAGTTTGCAACTCCAGCAAACATATTTTATGTGCGCTGGTCAGACAAAATGGCGGAGGAAAGGAGTTTGTTTTCGTCGTTCAGCTTGCGGACCACTATAAATGTCTTGCGCTGCACCGTGAAATCGGCGTTATTTATGGAGGCAAAGCGATTTCTCGACTGTAGAAACCTTCTTCTAGTCAGTGCATAGGAATGGCACGGCAGAAGCATAAAAATAATTACTGGAAACAATGTTTGTTTCTATGCTGCCTACGAGAAACAAACAGCAATAGCAGACGACAGAGTCGAAATTACGTCCTCTCTCGAGCTATGCTGCGTCGATTATACTGAAGTTGCCAGTAGTTGACGATGCGGAGATAAAAAAAGAAATTTACACCAGCTTGATCGTGCCAACAAAGTTTGGGGAGCACACAGTGTGTTGTGAACGAGCTGGGCATGTGTCGCATTGTGTTTATGACTTCTTGAAGTCGCATGACGTCGGTACTTCACACGACGTCGTGGCGATATGGGACGCTGTAAAGGCTGGTTCACACGCTTGCAACTGCTTACGGCCGTGTACCTTAAAACTTCTTAAAAATCTCAACCATTACCCTTGGCTCTAAAAACTTTTGGGAATGTTATGAACGACCATTGTTCGTAGATAGTGGGTACAGTTGATCTCGTAACTGCCACAAAACCTGACTCTAGTGAAATGCAGTTCAAGGATTACCTCATAGATGGCGCCATCGCATTCGCTCGCCGTAAAACGTCTCAAGAGCACGGTCCTATGGGCGTCCTAAGCAAACGCAAGTGTGCGAACGGGCCTTAAGGGTGTGCGGCTGTGTGACGTGTCATGTGATGTCGCACGACCAAGCTCCTACAGTCCTTCGAGACAGTTTTCTCGTAGAATTCTGCCGATAAAACGCGCTCTGCATTAATAAATAACACGCTTGTTTGAGTGATCACATAGTTTGCACACAGCACGAAGGGCTTCGTTGCATTAAGCCCTCGGAGAAAAAGTGGGATTAAGAATGCACTCGACAGAGGAACATTGAGATAGTAGTGTGAGAACCTTACCTGCAAAGACGTACTGCGTTGTGTTTGCGACTTCACGAAGTCGTATGACGTTGGGACTTCACACGACGTCGTGGCGTTATGGTACACTATAAAGGCTGGTTCACATGGGTACAATCTGCATGGGAGTGTTACACTTCCTGGCTGGAGGGATCCCCGTACCCTACCGCGAACCACAGTGTGGAAGCGGCTGCTTGGGGTGGCAGAGCTAATGATGCGTGCGTGCGCGTGGGGCAGGTACCACCAGCGGGTGCTGTACATCGACGTAGACATCCACCATGGCGACGGGGTGGAGGAGGCCTTCTACACAACGGACCGCGTCATGACCTGCTCCTTCCACAAGTACGGCGAGTACTTCCCCGGCACGGGAGACCTCAGGGTGAGTGCCTTCAAGCCACTGGTTGGGGGGCACCAGCGTGGGCATTTGCTCTCAACAAGGTCGGTGACGCGAGACGTAAATGTATAGAGCATTTGCGAGTGGAGGCGCACTTCCTTCAGCCGTACTATTGTGCGTCGTAGCGGTGGTAGGCACTAAATGGCATCTTCACTTCTTGGACTAACAAACAATTTGTTTGGAAGAAGAAAGCCTCTTTTTGTTTTTTTCTGTTTCGAAACGAAATTAGGCAACTTAGTTTCAGCTCGACATGTGAAGAACTGCTGCCATAGTTTGCATCTGAAAAGAAGCTATCTGTTTCCTTTTCTTAAGAGCACTGCACAGCATGCAAAACAATTCTTGCCCCTTTTTTTTTTTTAATTTTCGGGACGTGGTTGAGGTTTTTTTGGATTCTCTCGTTTCGAAACTACGACAGGAGCTTTGAGGTTTTGAAGCAGAAGAAAGTATTGTGGTGCCATTACGTTTTTCGGGTGGAAAACTCGCAGTCTAATGTTAAAACCCGAGTGGCATTTACCGTTACATGTATTGTATGCAGACATAGTTCCCATACCTTTTGCATTTACAAATACTCTTGTTGAGACGTTTTCATTTTATTTTTTTATTTCGGACGTCACCCACGGAAGGCCGAATAAACCATTAACATGTACATAGCACCCATGCAGATCCATTTTGGGTTGCAGAAAAAACTTCAGAGTTTGCCAGTATTTGAACATATCCTACCTCGCTACAAGGCATTATTGTGCTACCCTTGGCACCGCACCATTTTCTTTCCTAAGAAGGTGCATTTGTTTTCTAATTGCATCGCTGCACGGCGGATCCCTTTCGACGTAGAGTGTTTGACGCTTCGCCCTCAAATCAGAGAACGAAGCAACTCGTACGACTAACCCTTTCTTACGTCTCTCGATAGCTGTTTGAAGACCGTCTGACTGTAGCTGCCATGTTTTCTTTTCTTTCCTTTGTGTTGCGCAGGACATTGGTGCTGGCAAGGGAAAATATTACGCCGTCAACTTCCCACTGCGAGACGGTATCGATGACGAATCGTACGAGAGCATCTTCCAGCCAGTGAGTTTTGACAGACTCAAATTTCCTCACGTTTGGTTATACTCCGTTTCACCTTACGGCGAACCGCAGACGACACCATGAGCCGTCGAAGTCCTTCCAATGTCTGAGAGTGTCACGTGACTTTTGGAGAGTAGTGGGGACATGTGTGGTGCACAGCCTTTAATTAGCTGGGCTGGCTCATAGCATCCGTTGCAGTCTGTCATAGGGTGAGAAGGATGGTAGTACCTTCTTTACGATTCTCTCCCCTCCATATGCTCACAGATACCAAAAGAGAAAAAAAAAATTGTTGGTATGTTAGGACGATTCTTTTGCGACTTTCGGTCCCTGAATGATGCTATCAATGTCGGGCCTGCCAACAGGCTTTGCGGAGCACAGCACACAAACATAGCAATCGAGAAAAACCACTCGCTGTAAGTGCGAGCGAAGCTGATGCCACAAGTACGAACTTGTTACCTCGAAGGACTTTTTTGCTTTATGGTCGGCGACTGTAATATTCACGCGCCTCTATTCCAAGCGTGACTAATACCGTCTAAAAGACGAGGCTCGTGCATTACATTGTCATTAGTTGTTCACCGGCATTCCCGAGCAGCAAACACGCTGAGGCTCGGCGAGGATAGTGTGCAGCAAAGCAGCAGACGCACACATTCTGGCGTCATCGTCTGCAAGCATCGCGCTCGTCGTGAGATGCCGCAAGACGCGCGTGCGGTGAAATGGATACGAGCCAAGCGGCCCTGCATGGATCCGCTAGTGATCACGCTAGAGGAGACACGCTGACCTTGTGTTCTAGCTGGCATCGGCGAGTTCGGTTCGTCGTGCGTGTCATGACGACGATCGGTGCGTCGCGCATTGCAGCTCATCTCGAAGGTGATGGAGATGTACCAGCCGAGCGCGGTGGTGCTCCAGTGCGGGGCGGACTCACTGTCCGGGGACCGCCTGGGCTGCTTCAACCTGACCCTGAAGGGCCACGGCAAGTGCGCCGAGTTTGTGCGCAAGTACAACCTGCCCCTCCTGCAGCTGGGCGGAGGGGGCTACACCATCCGCAACGTGGCACGCTGCTGGACCTACGAGACGGCCGTGGCGCTCGGCGTGGACATCGCCAACGGTGAGCCCCTCTCTGCCCGCCCGCTCGCTTCCCCTCGTGGCGACTTCGGCCGAGGGTGGTTTTTATTGTGGCGTCAGCTCTGCCGGGTGAGCGTCGTGTTGCGTGATCGTCTGTGCAATTTTTTATATATCTCATTCCCATTGGGGCCAGAGGCATTACTGAGGGGAGTGGGTTACATAAAGTGAAACGTAGCAAAAGAAAAAAAAAGACAGCAAAACATTGTTGCGATGTAGCGAATCGCAGGTGGCACGAGCCAGCAATTAAAATGCATTGAAATTGATTAGACCTCGGCCGCCACGAAAAATTAAACCCAGATTTGTAACAATAAGCATAAAAAATATATTATACAGTAGTTAGGGCTCTTTCCAAGGAAAGGTTAGTAATGGCAGTTTAAAAATGTCTATTATTGAGAATTTCGGCGATTGCTGGGGGAGAATGGTTCCACCTTGATGTAAAAAATGAAAGACTGGTAAAAATGGTTTGTGCGGCAAGACGGGGTGGCGACTTTATGACAATGATTGATGCGTGCTAAAAAGTAAGAAGGTTTTGTTAGTAGCATTCTTTTTTAAGAATCTAATTGTTATGATATCGCTTGTGAAATAAAGATTGACGAAATATTTTTCTATGTTGCGAAAGAAGAAGGCTGATTTCACTGCAGTTACACTTGAGGTATTAAGTGACTGTGGTTTTGTGCAGCTTCTAATTCTGAGATGAGTGATTCTTGACCACAATCCCAAACAAAAGCTGCATACTCCAATTTAGTATGAACCATTGTTTTAGAGAGAAGTTTAGAAAGAATATTTCTCCAAAGGCAGCCAAGCATGCAGTTAGAGGTTAACTTTGCTTGGCTCCTAGCATTCCAGGATCATGGGCAATTTTACATTGAAGCACGTTAATGAACGGCCCTACAGCATTTGATTCACAAAAACTAAAAGAGTCTTGTTTTTGCAATCTTGCTTTAGGCACGACGAGAAACCGAAGCAAAACTTGGGCTCTGGCGGGTAACATGTTGGTTCTGCATTGTCAGGGTCGTTGCACATTTACACTAGGTTAGTAAGTTTGTAAGACATTTATTCAACCCCAGTGAGTTTGGCACTACGAAGACGTTTCCGTGTGATATCGGCATTATGGGGCCCACTCACCTGCCGTCACGTCAAAAACTCTGAGACCCATCAAAATAATTTGCACTCGCATGACAGGGGACATCACTATCCAAACGCGGCTTTTTTTTATATCACGTTTACATTGAAAACTTGCCACGGTCAAGCTTGCAATGTTGTGAAGCCTGTGGTGTCAACAAGGTGGTGTATTTGCCATTTTAACTGGTGGGTCCCAAAAGAGCTGTTTCAATGGGAGATGTCAAAGTGACAAAATAGCTTTTCTTATGCCTTCCAGTAGTTGCATCGCGGGCGCTAAAAGAACACCTCCATCTTTTGAAATAGGTAGTCGCCCCCTATGAATGAAGGGTACTTACCTGCTGTCTCTACGGCCCGTCTTCTTTTTCCCCCAGAGCTGCCGTACAACGACTACTTTGAGTACTTTGGGCCAGACTTCAAGCTGCACATCAGCCCGTCCAACATGGCCAACCAGAACACACCAGAGTACCTCGAGAAGATCAGGTGGGGGGACATTGCGTGTCACCTGTTCGTCCCGAAAGTCCCGGGACTTTGCGATCACATTGTTTCTGCATTTATTTACCAGAGGATTTGGTCGTACGGCCCCAAAGTCCGCAGAGTTTGCGCATGTGTTGTTTATAAATTCGTGTACACAAGAATGTTGTTGTAAGGTTCCTGCATTTATTTACCAGAGGATTTGGTCGTACGGTCCCCAAGTCTGCAGAGTTTGCACATGTGTTGTTTATAAATTCGTGTACACAAAAATGTTGTTGTAAGGTTCCTGTGTCGTGGTCGTTGGCTATCCTTCACTTTTTTGTGTGTGTTTATTTGTTTGTTTGTCTTTCTTTCCAGAACTCGGCTTTTCGAGAATCTCAGAATGCTTCCGCATGCTCCTGGAGTCCAGATGCAACGTAAGTGTCCCCTATGGCCTCTTTATTATTTTGGATCGAGCAATACTCTTGGGGGGTGTCAGGGTCGGTTTTGGTCATTTTAATTTGCATAACTCGTAGAGTTATTATAATGCATGCTAGAGGTCCTGCTAACGCTAGTGTGCTGATGCAAATTGAAGCAGACAGCAACCAGTCCGAAATTGACTTCCGGCAATGCACTTCTATGGGAAAAAACAAGTGCATTTTCTCTCCGCGCTTGATTATAAGAGCAAAAATCACGAATAATTTCTACGTACTAGGCACATTAAAACATTTCTCAGTCACGCGGACAAAATAATTGGTCAGCCAAGGTGTTTTTGTTTTGAAATAAGGGCGGACAAAAGCCTAAATTTCAAATTTTTTTGAAAAAAATTCATTTTTCAATTATAAGGTTTTTGGTTTTAGAAACTAGTTATACACCCTTACACCGAATTTGATAACCGTATGCCAAAGAGTTATGTTGATATAAAATATTTTCTACACATTTTGAGGCAGTAACAAGGTAAAGGAGTGCTATTTTTGAGTGCATTTTCCTCAGTTCCACTTTTTGCTGCAAATTTCATAGGAAGGAATCTTTTGTTTGAAGATAAAATTATTCCGATACCACTCAAGATGTTTCTGAACTGACATTTACTGGGGAATCGAGCTATCTACTTGATTTTGTTTTAAATTGAAGTCCTCATTGAAAAAATACTATGTTTTCAAAAATTTACATAGGACAAATATGCATCTCATATTTTGAGGTAATAACCCTTCCTGAAATATTTACATTTGATTAAAAAAAAAAAAAACTAGACAGCCCGAAGTCCCATATCCCCCACTTTATATTCTCGCAGTCAAAATTATGGTTTATAGCTTCATTTGCAAATCATAGATTTCTTAATGAGGAGTGACACATCTTCTTATGCAGGTACATAAATATTCCTAACGAGCGTGTTGGTACGATGTACTAGATAACAGAAAGTATAAAACAGAGAGAGGACGAAACACAGATGAAAGAATGTACTCGTCTGTGTTTCGTCCTCTCTCTGTTTTATACTTTCTGTTATCTAGTACAAGGTACATAAAGTTGTTCTGGAAAGCTGAAAGTTTGGAGTACACCTACATCTGACTTTAAATCTCCTCTGCGAATGGTGTTCGGATCACTTGAGTGGTTCAGAAGTTAAATCTCTAGCCAGTGTCCCCCCTTATTTCGATTAACTCGAATTGATGCTCAAAACTGTTCCATCAGGTCTACCTTCTTTGGTCTTGATTTTAGGTTGATGTCTGATTTTGAAAAAAGCCGAAAAAAGCAGCGAACTTTGGCTTCACTCTGTTTCCAACGCGCTAAAGAACACTCAGTTTTGAAGCACAAGTGCATGTTTTCATAATATTTGTGGGTGTTTGTTTGTGAAGTTTATAATATTAGAGCAGGGGTTTTAAAATTGGGTTCTGCAGAACACAGGGGTTCCGCGAGCTGATCTCATGGGTTCCGCAAGCACCCAAATTGCAGTTTCCTCGATGCATCGCTGCAGCGGTGGCATAGCCGAACACTAGTAAGATGAATCATTATTGGTATATTTGAAAATGTAGAATATTTTGAACAGTACAAGTGTGCCACAAATCGAATTCAACGGCAAATGCTATTTGGGAACTATTCGAAGTTTGGAACATTCGCACACTCGCGACCGCCACAACGACTTCCCGTTTTACGAGCATTCCCGTTTATTCCCCCAACGCGACAACGAGCGAGTCTCGCACACTTTACATTCTTTTTTAATGCGCTGACTTAAAATTCATCCGTCGGATGGACACCGCAGCGATTCCGGAGGACGCGATGGACCAGGAGAGCGAGGACGAGGACAAGGTGAACTCGGACGAGCGCATCAGCATCCGGGCCTCGGAGAAGCGGGTGGCGTGCGACGAAGAGTTCTCCGACTCGGAGGACGAGGGGGAGGGAGGCAGACGGGACAACCGGTCGCACCGGCCCAAGAAGCACCGCAAGGGCACCTCCATCACGGCCGGAGCGGGCGGAGGGGGCGGGGCCCCCACCGGAGGGAATGCACCCCAGGCGGCACCCACCCAGTCGCCGGCCGAGGAGGAGCCCAAGGCGGCGCCGCCCGGGGACGCCAAGGCGACGGCGCCCGCCGAGGGACAGCCCGCCAAGAAGGACGTCGACGGTGAGGGTGCAGTCGGCTTGTCGGGGCGACGTGGGGTCCCTCGTGACCGGCCCTCGTACGGGTTGCTCGAAAAAAGTAAATGATTGCAATTGCTCTTTGTTAGAAAGTATTCAGTTAGATTATTTGGCAATAATGGCAATTGACCGTCATTTTTCCGATTCATTAAAATTTTCAAAACGACAAATTTATATGACATTTTGTTTACTTTTTTTTTTCTTCGTTCTGTTCTTTATTGTTAGAATCGCCACGTTACAAACTACCCATCTTCTCAGTTCACTAATTTCAATAGACCATCCCCTTGTCGGGGACTTGGTTCAAGGAGTCCTTCGTACAAGGGTGATTTCAGATAAGATCGACCAAAGGGTGGCTGGTCGACATGTTTAAATCAGCTGATGGTTTTATATGCATCTGGTATAAACGAATCCACACATACTTTGACCGGAAAAAATATCTTGGGGGCAGGAAAAATCGTAAGGCATAAAGAGGTGGACAGTTACATTAACGCGCACTGATGGAGGGGGCACATTTGAGAGTGAATAACTAAAACAATAACATTAGGAGAATGCTTATCCTTTTAGACGCAAACTATGGGTACAGCTTGCTTGTAATGTAAAGTAATAATATTTATTTAAATTTTATTTATTTTTCTAACAATTTCCTAGCATGCCTGCTTGAACGACAAGTGTCAAAATTTGGGAGCCTCTATCTCATGAAATAATTTGATCATTATTGTATAATTCGCAGATAGTATTCTACTATTATTTAAAGATAAATAAGGTATCTGAGTGATACGATAGTCGGGATATACCGTATTTATTCGAATATAGGTCGACCTTTTTTTTTCGGAAATGTTGTCAAAAATTAAGGGTCGACCTATAATCGTGACCAAAGAATTTCGACCTAATTCGCAACCAAAATTTGAAACCCTATCGAGGGTATGGAGCTATCAATCACCTAGTCGGCGTCGCGGTAGAGCCGCGCGGCTTCTTGTTTCAAAAAGCTTTTGATGCACAAAAACAACCGAACAGCAGCAGCCGACAGCCCGTGTCCGCCCGCTACGGCTCTCGCGCACATTCCCTCGGCGTCGAGTTTCGCCATCACGCCATCACGCCTGTAGCGTTCCCCTCGCTGGGCAAGGGGGAAGGGGAGGGAGAGGAACGCGATGCGCCATGCACTTTTACTTTGCTCCACTCCTCTCTCCCTTGCAAACGTGCAAAAAAAAAAAAAAAAAACGGAGGAACTTTAGTTTGTTCTTTTCGGCGGGTCGCGTGTAGCTCACAGGGCTCGCAGCGTTGCTCGTGTCTTTATGTTTGATCTTTCGTCGCTCGCCCGTCTCCACCTTCTTTCGTTTCTTCTTGTCGTCATTCATTTTACAACGGTGTCAGTGAGGTATTGTTGCCAATTTGCGAGGATGTCTACCAAGCTGACGAAGCTGTTTTGACATCGCCCTGTGATTTAGCTGAGTGCTGTAAATAAAGGTTTGTTTCTTTTGCCCTAACTTTCCCCAGTTCCTTAAAAAAAGAAAAAAAGAAAGGTCGACCTATATTTGAATTATTTTTTTTTATTCTCGGTGGGCTCAATAAATAGGGGTCGACCTATTTTCGTGGTTGACCTATTTTCGGGTAAATACGGTATTTAGGCAAACATGATAAAAAAATCAAACAACGAAAATCTCCGATACTAATAAAATTGAAAACACCGCCTTCAATTTTGTTTAAATTTGGGTACCCTGTTATACTCTATATCGGCATTCATTTCTATTAAAAACATGTAGCGTTATTTTATCGAGAAAGAAGAAACAACTCTCCAAAGTAGTGTCCTTTTTCAAAGCCTACACTTAGCAGTGCCCTATACCAGAAGTGACTCTGAGCTCTAGTTTCATGAAACTAACACACATATTTTATAAATTTTTATTCAGATGAGGCCATTGATAACTATAGAAATCATTCAGACATTAAAATTGAGGAGAAACTACTGTGTACAAAGAGCTCTCATATCACGGACTAGTGATCTGAGAAAAGATCCTGCAGCCATCAGCCATTGGGAACTTTGTTTACTTTATTTTCCTACGACACTATATGCTCCTCTCTTTTACCCTCTATCTCTCTCTCTCTTATATATATATCCCTAACTTATATCTAGAAAAACATATTCAAGCATTCCCTTTCTGCGTGATAGTGTTCTGTGGCTAGCAACAATCATTTCCTCGCGAAGATCACGATTATGGCACAATCGTTGACGGAAGTGGCAGGCGACACTCATCGCTAGTTCTGGCAAAACGGCCGATATAATCTTTTTTCCGCATTTCCCCGCTCACTGTCAAGGATGAGGGGGTTCGCTTCAACCAGCAAAATATGGCCGTGGATGCCAGTTCACTGAGCAGTCGTGCCTGTCATCATTAGACTCGCTGGCTTCGAGGGCAATAATATCAGGCACAAAGAGGCACACCGACAGAGAGCAGAACCCCCAAATACTCGAGCCCCGCCTAAATACAATAGAGTGTAAGCACTGTTGCCATGTTAACCTAGGAAAGGTTAACGTGACGACAGTGTTTACGTTTTAGGTAAGGAAAAGCATGGCGTGTGGTATGAGACGGATCCTTACACGAGGTGCAAGGTGAGCCATGAGAACCTGTCTGCTGCCCTAGAGTACTTCACGAAAAACGAGCTACAATGTTCGCACCAATGTCCCAACCAAAAGGATGTGATCTCTGTCATGCTCAACGGGGAGAAAACATTTGTGCCAAAGCGCTTCCTGACACGCTTAATCCGAGAGGCCTTTTCTGTATTTAAAGACAAGCATACTGGTTCGAGCATTGGGCTAACAAAATTTTATTCCTTGCTCCCTAGATGGGTCAAATGTATTCGACACCAGGAAGTGTGCGTTTGTGTGCGCTGCGCCAATTGTTACCTTTGTATTGCCGCTGTAGAGAACGTTACAGGCTCAACATTCAACACTGGTGCAATGAACTCAGCATTTCTGTGCGACCCACCAACAAGTCTTTGTCTTTAAGGAGACTGTGATCACTGCCCAAAATCTTACACTCGAGGAACTTCATATCCCAGAGGATGAAGAGATTGTGCTTACAACATGGGAGCCCGAAGTCGTTCAAATAACGATTGATAGTTGGATATTTCGCAACCATACCTGACATACACCAGATACAGCTATTCTGCGATGAAAAGCAGCTGCATGCAATGCGGGAGCTTTGTCTTTTATTTTGATTTTGCTGAAAACTGGACCATTGTGCTTCCTGACAAAGTTAAAGCGTTCCACTGAAGAAAAAAAAGTTACGATATTTACATGTGTAGTGACAACAAGAAAATCTACAAACAGCGTTGCTATCATCAGTGAGGACCTGCGTGACGACGTCGCTCTCACATGCTTGGCTCTGGAAAAAGTGAAAGAATGGGTTGAAGGCAATGTTGCGGTATACTCGCACGTGACGTACGTAAGTGACGGGGCCGCCAGTCATTTCAAGAATCGCTACCAGCTTCACCAGTTTGCGCAGAACGATTGCCCACAATCCCAATGGTTATTTTCTGCATCTGGACATGTGAAAATGCATGTGACGGAGTTGGCGGACTCGTGAAGCACCAGGCCACGCTGAACAACCAGAGAGGAAGTTCAATAAACACCATTCAGACGGCCAGGACAATGGTGAGCGTTCTATCCGTGAAACTGAAAGGCGTGCACCTTGAGTATCTGGACAAAAATAAAGTTTGGTATCGTGAAAAAAAAAAAAAGAGTGGCTGACGGTGCGCAACTTCCATGGCATTCAGTCTTGGCACGCGCGGCGGCCGTGTAATCAACAGAAGGAACCTTTGACATATATGTAGCACGGACAGTCGGATCCAATTAGAAGAAACTTTAATAAATGGGTACATCGAGGAAAGCCTTGGTGTAAAGTGCTGAATTTGATGCCCCAAGGACTGCTCATTTTGAATGCAGGGACATCTTATTTATCACAGTTTTCTTCGTGGGGTATTTAACCTACTATTTTACTTGGTGATAGCTTATAAACTTTATCTGATCACCATATGAGAATCGCGAAACATTATCCTCAAGCAGGATAAAATATCTCGGCTTGCACGATCCATCCGTACACCGAGAGTATCGAAGCTCTCACAGTCCGGCAGGGTGGCACCCTTACCTGAAATGGTTTGTCCCCGGAAATACATAAGTAACCTTAACAATTTTAGTATTCTATCTTTATTATTGTGCATGGAAATAAAGTTGTTTCTTTTATTTTAAATATAAATTATACCGGAGAGTAAAACTTCACACTGCATCATCTTTTCTCGAATCACTAGTCTTTAATTTGATACCCCTTTGTACGCTCTATGTAAAATGCTGTATATAGTTTCTCCTCACTTTTACTGTGTGAATGATTGCTCTAGGTGTCAATGAACTCATCTGAATAAAAATAAATGAAAGATGTGTTAGTTTCCTGAAACTGGAACTCGGAGTCACTTCTCATATAGGGCACTGCTACGTGTAGGCTTTGAAAAAGGACCCTACTTTGGGGAGTTGTTTTTTTCTCAATAAAATAATGCAACATGATTTTAATAGAAATGAATGCAGAGATAGAGTATGAAAGGGTACCCAAATTTAAACAAAATCGAAGGTGGTGGTGATGTTTTTATTCACATCGGAATTTTTTGTTGTTTGATTTTTTTCCCATGTTTTCTTAAATATATCCCAACTATCGTCTCACTCAGACACCTTATTTATTTATTTTTTTATAATATCCATATATAAGTAGAATACTACCTCCAAATTATATCATAATGATTCAATTATTTCATGAGATACAGTCCTCCAAATTTTACCTTTTGTCGTTCGAGCAGGCATGTTTGGCGATTTGTAGAAAAATAAATAAAATTTAAATAAACATTATTACCTTATATTACAAGCACGCTGTACCCATAGTTTGCATCTAAAAAGTATTGGTATTCTCATAATGTTAATGTTTTAGTTATTCACTCTCAAACATGCCTCCTCCATTAGTGCACTTTAATGCAACTGCCCACCTCTTCATGCCTTAAGATTTTTCCTGTCCCCAAATAATTTTTCTGGCCAAAACTAAGTGTGGATTTGTTTATACCAGACTCAAGACAATAGCATATAAAGACATCAGTTAATTTAAAAATGTCGACCAGCCACCGTTTGGTCGATCTTATCTGAAATCACCCAGAAGACTTTAGAAGCAAACGGTGCCGAGGGGAGGGAGAAATGGCAACGGTTACAAGGAATCATGGCACTTTAAAAAGTAATTGAACTACGCTCGCAATCACTTCCTAATAAATGTAATGAAATGATACCAAAATTACTCCTAAAGGCAATCGATTGCAAGTAATTACTTGTAATGAGTAGCGCACAAATCTGCTCGTGACGAACCATGTTCCAAACTCCCTGTTGGCCGCTGCATTTTTATTCCCTTTTATTTTTTAGTTTGCGATTTCGTTATTGCTACAAGTTTACAAGAAAATGTCCCGAAAAATAAAATAGAAAGTGTAATTTTTCCGCTAAATTTAGCGAGGAAATCAAATCGGTGTATATTCATACACCAATTCAGGTTCTCGTTCTAAACTTATGTCACATTCGTCTGGGGCGCACACGGCACCGAGAGAATGTCGCCGCCCAGGCCATGCCACTGTGTAGGTGCACCACATGACGCACTACCAGGCGAACGCGAAGCGTCTTGCCGTGCGACGCGCTCGGTGCGGTCACTGCAAGGGAAAAACATGAACGGGTGGACGGTAAAAAATATCCGCAAAAGTGGGGCGACAACACGACAAAACCATTAGAACGAAATGCGAGCACGCGTTACTCCAACACACACTCATGAACATTCGGGCAGCGGGGCCACGAAAAAAACAAGACAGCACTCAATTCCCGACACAATGCGAAACAACTCCCTGCTCGCGACACAAGCTGCAGCCGTGAAACAAGTTCGCCGGTGCAAAGAAGACGAAAGTTCCGAAAAGGAAAGTCCCCACTGTGGACCCAAAGTCCAGGGAAAAGTTCAAACAAAGTCCGAAGACTCACCAATGTCTTGAATCCGACGAACGACGAAAGCTTCACGTGCCCGGCGTGGTGGACTGGTTGCTCGGCGGCCGACGCAACGCAGCACCACACGCACACACACTTCCCAAAAAGGGAAAAACCGACGCCCGTCGTCACTGCTGGAATCGTAGCCAGAGCAGGGGGCTTGAGGGAAAGAAGATAGCAGCGCCGACATCACATTCTCTCGAGCTGCGGGCCGCCATGTTTCGCGAGACGAGGAAGGAAGACCGGGAAGACAGACGACGAGGTGAGAGAGAGAAAGGAGGTGCGGAAGGAAGCGGAGAGCGTTAACTCAAGGTCGCAGTGCGCGGACCTGCATAGTCTCCTTCCGACGGTGCAGCTGGTGCAGCAACGCACCGGTGCCGCGCACCGCATGAAATCCCAGGCAAACGTAGTGCAGCCGCACCGACACGACCAGGCGAACGTGACGCGTCCGTCGGTGCTGCGCAGCGCGGTGCGCCCCAGACGAATGTGACATTACTGGGTGATTCAAAGAGACGGCAGGCTCTTTAAATTGTCCGGAAAATTCGGTTTCCTAACCTATCGCGCTACAACTTAGTGCAGCGTTGCCCACAGATGCTGCATTTTTTTGTAAAATTTGCAAAGAGAACTTACCTGAAGAAAAAAGTAAAGAAAGAAAAAGGCTTAGCTCTTAGCTCCTTTGGAAATGCAGCAATGCCACCGGTCTTCAAACAACACGGCGCCGTTTTGCACGGGACACAAGAGATGGCACAACGAACGCCGCCAACGAACGAGCATACGGCACTGAAAGCCAGCGTCTTTAGCAGACAATCTTTTCGACTCAAAAGCGGAGCGCGTTCTGCGGGCGGCGACAGTCGCAGAAACAAAAACAGGCGCGGTAACAAGGAACTGCAGTTCCTTGTCTGCTAAATACGCCGGCTCTCGGCGTCGTCTGCTCGTTTATAAGCGGCAGTTGGCATCGCGACCGCTTGCGCCATCTCTTGTCTCCCGTGCGAAACGACGCCGTGTTGTTTGCAGACCAGAGGCGTCGCTGCGTTGCCATAGGAGCTAAGCCTTTTTCTTTCTTTGCTTTTTCCTCAGGTAAGTTCGCTCTTTGCAAATTTTACAAAAAAAAATGCACCATCTGTGGGCAACGCTGCACAAAGTCGTAGCGCGATAGGTTAAGAAACCGAATTTTCCGGTCGATTTAAGGAGCCTGCCGTCTCCTTGAATCACCCGGTAGTGGGGAACCACCTGTTGCTTAATTTAGAGCTTATATAACGAAATAGACAAATTTCATACGAAGGAATATTTTGTTCAAACGTAGAAGTATTCTGATACCACAGTCAAGATGTTTCTGAACTGAAATTTACACGGGACTCTATGCTTTCATAAATTGACATAGGACAGATATGCATCTGATATTTTGAGGTAATAACTCTTCCTAAAATATTTACATTTGAATTACAAAACTTGATAGCCCAAAGTCCAATACCCCCCCCCCGCTTTATATTCAAGCAGTCAAAATGATGCTTAATATCTTCATTTGCATATCATAGATTTCTTAACCAAGTGTGACACATCTTATGCAGGGATGTAAAATTGTCCTAGAGAGCTCAAAGTTTGCACAATACACCTATATCTCATGTTAAATCTCCCCTGCAAATTTTATTCCGGTGATTTGAGTAGTTCAGAAGTTAAATCTCTAGCCAGTGTCCCCCATTAATGGCAGTACCGTACCACCATTACATCTTTTGGTTGTTCGCTTGTTGGTTAGGTATGTGATTTTACTAAAAGGTCTGCAGGGTGGCCCGTTGCCTTTCGTGCGACGAGGAAATTCTGACATTTTTTTTTTGGCTCAGATATTTCTGCTAGTTTATTTTTTTAAGTGCATAAGTTTGCCCAGGCCTATTTCTTAGATGGGGGCAAGTTGTTATAGGATGTGCACCTTTTCTGTGGAACAAGTACAAAGTGGGCTTTGGATGTTGCTTTCAGACAAGGATGACAAAAAGATGGACACGTCCACAACAGAGAAAGACGGCAAAGCCTGAGAGGAAAAACGTAAGCAACCCTCGGCCGTTTCGACAGTTGTACAGTTCGCATGGGCTCTCCATGACCCGCGCACACTTTTGAATTCTGTGGAGCCCCGTTCAAGATTCGCTTTATTCAACAAACCCGGTGTTTGTAGTGTGCTCAAGTATGTCGCATTTTCTTGTAACATTTGCGACGAGAATACACTGGCGCCGTCTATCAGGTCGCCCTGGAACACACCCAATATGCATATGTGTATATATATACAGATTTTTTTTTATCCAACATCTTATTATGATGAGTTTGAAATAATGCTGACATTGTCGTGAACAGAAATTTAAAAAGTCACATTTTTTTAAAGTTAATGAAGTCAGGTTTATTCTATTTAAATAAAGTTTGATTTGAATCAAAATGATTTGATTTAAATTGGGTGAATTTTTATATAAATTGGACTAATTTGACATACAGTAAAATTCCGAGCAGGCGCAACACCCCCCCCCCCCCCCCCCCCCCACATGCAAGTCAAAATTACCTGCAAAATGAGGGGGGCGCTATCCTGGAACGGCACTAAAATTCAAGATGGCGACGACAAAATATTTTTGCCTGAAGAAAAACCGCAGTGCACATGGATTTATAATACTTTATTTATCTCTGAGAACATGGACTTTACTAGGCAAAAGATTCGTCACTGCTATGTTAACGACTTTCAAAACCACCAAGAGACTCGTGAGTCGGTCGCTAGAAAAAGTTTGCAGCATTCTGCGATGTTTCCCAACTGCATCCCGTTGGCTATTTTGACAGCCTCTTCAGAAAGGAGCCAGTTGCTAATGGCTCATTCTGCACTTCTTTCGCTCTCCAGGTATTCAAAGAGCGCGTCGCCCACGTATTCACTGAACACCGGTGTGCCGTTACTTAGCGTTCGTCGGAGTTTGGCCTTCCCGTAGTTTAGCTGTAGAAAATTGTGAAAATTCTTGTCCCACTCCCGTATGGGCTCGAGCTTGATGTGTCGAAACGTTGGTGTATGTCTTTCCCGTTTTCACAATGCCATTAGACGACATTGATTTTCTTTGCCACTGTGTAAGAATGCAGAGCCAACCTGACAGCCCCAAAACAAAGCGACAATGGCACGTGGCGACCAGGCTGATCGGGCTGCAAAGTAGGATTGGATTGGATTCTTGGACTGAATTTCGCAGGCCAGTGTTGCCTGGGCGCGGTGCGTGATACAGGTGCGGAGCGGGGAGGGGGGCGCTTTCCTGGAACGGCACAGAAATGTGAAATTAGCATGACGTTGGGGGGGGGGGGGCTCTTGCTTGGGTGGGAGCACTTGATCGGAATTTTACGGTAAATCAGATTAATTTGATTTAAATCACTGTAGCTAGATTAAAAAGTGACTCTTCATTTTTAGATGTATCTTAAACGTGGTAGATTGATCGATCAATCCATCCAGTCACTGAAAACAGTGCGGAAGAAAAAATTACTGTACATTTAAACTTCTAATGTATGGTTTAAATGAAAAAAAAAATGATTTTTTTATGTAATCCCAATTATATTTTTTTTTAAAAAAGAAGCGGTTTGATTCGTTTAGTTTGTCAAAAAGCTTTATTTGCTTCTCTTTTTTTTTTTTTGCATTCTTTTTTGAGTGTCTTGCAATAGGACTTACGTAACTAACAAAGGAAATCGAAGGTAAAAAGAGAGCTCGGTGCTTTGATTCGCTCAGAAGGGCTTTTGTTTGTCTTCAGCCCGATATAAATCTTTCTTGTTTAATGATTCTTTGGTTTAGATACAAAACAAACGCATATAGAAAGTGTCGGATTGTAGATAAAGGGTAAATAATAAGTACTTTAGGGATAATTTTTGTGGGAAGGGTTTCATATAGATCCTAGTGAAACCAGTTTGATTTAAATCATTATGATTTTCGTTCTCCACCCTAAGTGTAAGCGCCTACAACTTGTCGTAGATAGTGCGTAGATTTGTTCTCACGAGTGCTGCAAAACCCTTCAGTCGGAAGGGTTCCAGGGTTACCCGACAGACGGCGTCGGCACGTTTTCGCGTTGCAAGCGTGGAAACGCAAAGCACTTGAGCACACTTAAACGCAAATGTGTCAACCAGCCATCCCTGTGAAAGGTCCGTTTCGCATGTACGTTTCTCACCTCTCTTTTTTTCCGCCTTTCTCGCAGACGCCGCACGTCGGAACACTTCGAAGATGCGAGACGATTAAGTGGACCCGCCCTCTTTTTCTAATCCGTTCGCACGACTCGCCCGCCATGTCGGATCGGCGGACGGCCGAAAAACGGAAGTGTGTATTTATGCGTAACAATTTTTGTTTGGCGTCTGTGACCTCTTCTTCCCTCTTCCCACGGTCATCGAAGTGTAACTGCGTCGTCGGGCCATCTCTTGAACGCCGGCATCCCATGTGTACAAAGCGTCAGCTCGTCATCCAAGCCCCCTTTTTAAAGAAACACGCGAGTGGACACACCATTCTTCGGGCCCACGACGTAGTCGTAGGTACCATTCGTTCCAGCTCGCAATGGACCGCGGCAGATGCTGCGAGCCAACCCAGCCAGTCCGATGCCGTTCGAGTGTCATGTGACATCCGAGGGGGGCACAGCACAGCGAGACACTCAGGTCGCGTGACTTTGTTCGCAGCGCTGGATTCGCTAGGATGGCTCGTAGCGTCTGCCGCGATTCATCGCGAAGTGAATCGAAGCATAGCGTCTCGATGCGTTGCTTCCTATCGCGCGGGGCCATCACTTTATACCGCATTTCTTCGTCCTGCTTCATATCTTTTTTTTACCCTTTTTGTTTTTTTTTTCATTTTGAGTCACCCAGAAATCTGAAATCAGCGGTTTTCATAGTTTTCTTTTTCCACTTTATGCATGCACGTCTTCGTAAGCATAAGGACACGAAACTGTCACCACCGGTGGCTCGTGGGAGCCACCCGTATCGGCGCCTACTTTTTGTTGTGGAATCTGCAGCACGCCGAGTTTGCGTGCATGTTTTGATGGTAGTGGCTTTGTGTTGCGGAACGCTGTAAATAAAGTCTGGCTCTAGACCTGGGATACACGCAAACACGGGTCTCTTTTTCTGGAGGAGGCCGTCTGTGCAAGCCCACACTGCAGCATGCTTGTAATCGAGCTGAAGGAGATTGACTTCGTCACCAAAAGGCTGTTTTTCTTTCTTATTTGCCACTGGAGAACCTTTTGGACCGGCCGACAATGAAGCTCTGGAACAACTTGGTGCCTTTTTTCGTGGACCTCAAAGACTAGCTGAGCATTTTACCAACTGAGCTAACCAGAAGCTAGCCATCGGTGGAGATCATCATGTATAATCGTTAGTCGGACCTTGCCCATTCTTTGGGTCGATCGAGACTGGTGGCAACTGTTGACGCCCGTTTGCTCTACTGGCGGCTAGCTCCTGGTTAGCACAGTTGGTAGAGCGCTCCGCTAGCCCTGTAGAGGTCCCAGGATCAATTCCCAGACCGTTTAGATGTTTTCAGCAGCCACCAGTTGCCTAGAGAGCACAAGCTGCACTTTAGGGTAGTGGTTGAAGGTTGATTTTGGCACTACCTTCATTTGCCATTTCCTCAATAGTTATTTGAAATGAAGAACATGTGGGGAAGAGCAGAAGCGTTGTAAGTTAGGCGAGTTGATACGATCAGTGCTTTAGTCTTCTGTAAGTTGATGGGGCTCCCTACAAGAAAAGGGCGGGGAGTGGGGTTCTGACGAGATTTATTAGATGCACATAAAGTAAACCCCACTGCTGACTCTACCCAGTGTACCTGCAACCCTGAAATCGCTAGTCCCCAAATATCACATCCCCTGAAAACAACCTATTTTGTTGTAAGATATTTTGATTTCACTAATGCTAGGGCTGTAGAGGAAGGTCTCAAACCATCCTTTGAAATCGGTGGGAGGTCCGCGACCCCCTGAGACCCCCCAGACTTTAAAGGGGTCCTGCGAGGACTTTTTTTACTGGTTTTTAATTTGCACCGAACCTGAGCGCACTGAAGTAGTAACTTAGTGAAACTTTTCTCGAAATTCGCTTTATTTTAAAAGTTATAGGCAAATTAGAATTACAAAACAAGCAAAAAATAACCTCCCTCATGACGTCCTTGGTTGCTTGAGAGTGGCCGTGAACGAGAGGAGGGATAGTGAGCTAAGCGAGCGCTCACGGCTGCCGCACTCTGTGTTGACGGCGCGAGAGGGCGCCACTAAAGCGTGTTTTAGATAGGCTGTATACAGCGGGTAGCCAGAGTGGCTCTCATTGCATTTGCTGCACGATTAAACACATTCGGCATGACACTTCATTGGCCTCAAACGACAGCAAACACGGGGTAAATATCAGTTCAGAATGGGAGCCACTTCGCGCTGCCATACCGCCAAACGGACAAACCGCAAGACAAAGCTTCTCGCCGAAGGCCTTCGGAACGCTCGGAGCCGGTCGAATCCTCCTGCCCATACGACCGCAGCGCCGCCGCGTACATCCGGGACCTTTCCGTGTCGGCGCCTGATCCCATTACTAATTTCTTGTTTGTGCCACCGCTTGGTGGCGGGTATGTCGACGGGTCATTTCTTGTTTCCATACTTTATAAACTGCATTTGTTACTTTTCTTATCTAAAATACTGAACAAAAAAACTACTTTTATAAATAACTGAAACGGTGCGCGCCACTTGTATTTTGTATTTCGACTAAAAAGAAGCTTTTAGCGGCTCTGACCAGTAGTAAGCCCAGGACCAAAGACGTCACAATTTGCGCGTTTTCGGTACCGCGGGTCGCCCTCGTCGGTGGAGGAGGTTTCCGCGTTGTCCGGTTAAAATATGACGCACTGATATTTAGTTACTCTCTCCGTGCCCGCTGGCTTGCCCGAACCCCAAGAGACGTGGAAACCGCAAAAAACGTAGACGCTTAAATATGATTGCAGGGCCTCTTTAAGCCCTGGTTACGATGACATAGTGAACAGAATAGCGCACAAAAAGACAAGGACAGAGAGAAGGAACCTTCTCTCTGTGCTTGTCTTTTTGTGCGCTGTTCTGTTCACTATGTGGGGAAGAGTAAACTGTGGGAGTTAAAAACAAAAAGGGTTAGTTTCGGTACCTATACTCCGTCTCACAGAAACCGTGCAGTACAGCCAAAGCTACAGAGGGGAGAGTGTATCCCGACCTTTTGAAGAGGAGGGAACGGGGAATCCCAGCCCCTAGCTCTCTCCTGTTCTTCCTTTTCGTCCTCTTGGGCAGGTTGGCATACGCTCTCCCCCCTGTAGCTTTGGCTGTACTGCACGGTATTAGTGAGATGGAGTATAAAAAATTGCAATTTTGAAGGTGTCGGTGCAAATTGCAATGATTTTTTTAAAGTTATAAATAGCCTTTGAAAGACATTCTTGATACGAGCTTTTATTGTACGAAAGGACGCGAGAGCGATGTCAAAAATGTGTTCATGGTTTTATTTTTTTGTTGTTTTCTTATCGCCACGGGAAAAGACATCAATGACTTTTATTTTTATAAAGAAATGCAACCATCTAACCTCCCCTTCGTGCTAAATTGCAGTATTTGAGCAATCCACACTGATCTTTTACATTTATCCAGGGTGGGTCAAACTCATTTGGCTCTTTGCATCGACCACGCGTGGTTCAAAAAAATAATTAACCCTTTAAACATTTTTTTTTTTTCGTAGTGAGTTAAGATTTTGCAGAGGTTTTGCGGAAGACGATGCAGTTTGTATGTCAAAATTTCGAAGAATTAGTTTACTTCAGTAAAGATCAAAACATTAGTGCTCGATTTCCCTATCTACGCCGCCATCTGTAAACGAAAGAGCGGCAGCTATTTACATGGAAGAAATAGTTGAACAAATAAGTTTTCTGGTTAGTATTGTCTTCATTCACTGTTCTATTATTAAAATTTATAAATCAATCACTGGACCGAGAAAATGCGGGCCGGATGCGACTCAGAAACAATGGTGTATGCGCCCATAGTTGCGCCCTCACTTTTATTTGCCTCTTTATGTCGGCTGGACACGGCCGTCGTAGGCGCTAAGTCACGCTCCTCTTTTATTTTTTGCTCTTTACTCCGGTTAACTTTTTGGAAATTTTATGCACAGAATGCACTACCTTCGGCCACCTTTTTACACTTTTAGGTCGGTTCTTAGAAAGCTGGACATATGCCGTGCTTTCAAAGCACCAACATTTGTTTGACTTTGGCAGAAAGCAAAAACTGTAAAATAAAACTTTTTTTCCCCCCCTTTTTGTTAGGGACGCGGTTGTAGACATAAACTGTAGCTCTCAGGTTTTGAGCAGCGCCTCTGGCGAGCAAAGTCGAATATTTTTAGATCGCGTTTCCGTTGTGCGGCGTGTAGCGTTCTTTCGAACCCTCTGGCGTCGAGCGTAGCAAACGCGGCGTAGTGCAGCGCACGCAGATACTGATTGGTAGCAAATGTCGAGTTCCTAATCGCCGGCCAGTAAAAGGCGCGCGTTCTGCGCTACGTTGCGCTGAGCGTCGGAGTATAACCAACGAGCTTGGGTAAACTTACCTCACTCCAGTAGACCGATCTCGCCAAGCGTTCGACACGTAGTTACAGTGTACTATACTCTGTTTCATACTTAGCGTGCAACGCTGCCAAATCTACTGGCGCGAGCGCGTACCTTCATCTTTGGTTTTGTTTGCGCGAAAACGCGTGCAAACGATCAACGAGATCAAGCGCGCCAGTAGCTTTGACAACGTTGCACACTAAGTATGAAACAGAGTATAGAAAACGTGGTTCGACACATGCGTGACGCCGCCATAACTTTAGTTCACAGGAGGCAGACGGCCGTGCATGCGAGGGCTCGTGCCGTCTCGTGCTCTGCACGCGCAGGGCTCCAGCGTAGTTGTCGCACCTGCAGAAAGACCAAGGTTCCCTCGATGCATTGCGCATCGAGGGAACTGGCTGGTGAGATCGGACTATTGAGGGGTCCCTCCTTTCTCAAGGAAGTGGAGGGGCCTCTCACTGGGAGTGAGGTGGTAAACCAGCGGCCAAAAATGACGCCCCCCCCCCCCCCCCCCTTCTTTTTTTCCGGTTGCCGCCACCTTGCCCGTTCGCCAGGCTAGTGATCACGTGCCGTTAGGATGGCTGCAACCAGAGGTGCGCCAGATCACGGTCAGCACGGCCGTGTTTCAAAATTTACTAGATCTCACTCTGGGGTAAAGATTCTGTACCTTGGCGCTCGAAACCCCACCCGCTTCCAGTTGCTCTACCTGTCTTGTCACGTGACATGGTCTGCCAGAGTAACTGATCCATTCGAGTATGACTGAAATACAGCCCCAGAGGGCCCATCGGCTGATCGTGATCTGGACCACCTACAAGCGCAGCCTACTTTACGTCATGTGTTCACTAATGTGGCAAACGGGCAAAATGGTGTCAGCGGGAAAGGGGGGGGGGGGGGTGCAATTTCCGCAGTTTGTGGGTTCCGGTTTACCGCTCTAAGGTGATACTCAAGCTTGTTGAGTATAGGGTTCCGCGTTTTCGGTTTCTATTTTTTCAAAATTCGGCGTACTCTTTCGGTGTTTATTTTAAAAATCAATTTTCGTTTTTTTTTTCGGCGTATATTTATGCCCACAAAAGTTTATCGGCTTTTTTCGGTGAATATAAAATAAACACCAACGGACGCCGGATCAGATGATCCTTCTAACTCTGATATTTGTGATCACTCAAAGAATAACGGTGCAGATACATCGAAGAATAAATGGACTCTTTATTTGGCAAATGTGTGCAATGTAAAAGAAACAAGGAAAACAAAAACACAGAAGTACAAACAAGTCAGATACGAAGCCTATGCCGAAAAACCATAGAACTTCACCTTTTGTACATCAGGATTACGTGATCTTATTATAGTACACACACATGTAGGTTCTCCTCGTTGATCCGCACTCTTTCCTGTTCAAAATACCCCGAGCTTCGAGAGTGCCCTCTCAACGCTAACACTGGACACTGGCACGCTGAGGAGATGAAGCGCGGCCTGAGCCAAAATCGGCCAATCAACCAAATGTGACCGCCAAAAGAGACACGGTGCGACGTTTTGAAGCACAACACGACATGCAGA